TTTTTCGTCATCGTATGGCTTCAGTTGACGTCGCTCCAGCTAGTTCTCCACCCAAGCAGCCCAAGCCAGCCAGGTAGTCCGCCACTTGAAACTTACCTATCCACCCTCACCTTTGTCTCACTAATTGTTTGAGTGTCTGTGCGGATTTTGCCAAGTTTTATATTGAAATTAGGCACAAGTGCTTTTCTAAACTGTAAACTTACATTTGATATTTCTTTTGTTGCAATAAGTTAATAATAAATCTAGTTGCCTTTAATTTTGTTGCATAATTGAGTTTTCCCTTTAAGCTCTTGAAGTTTTTTGGCTACAGTTTAAGCACTGCCACAAACCGTTACCTGCTGTGTCACCTTTCAAGGGCTGCGAATAGACGTCATGCTGCCGTTTTGGTCAACAGTTATACCCATTTTGGTTTCAGCCATGCTGTTACTTTTCTTTGTCTGTTTGCCAAGCATTCACACGCGCTACGCACACAAGCATGTGCACACACACAGAGAGAGAGAGAGAGAGAGAGACACACATATGCACACATCATATAGAGACCTAGCTAGCATTTTGTGTAGCTTGTGCTGGAATGTGTTTCATTGGGTTCTATGCCCTGTAATTTCAGAAGGGCATAATATCAGGTAGCATATTCATTTTTAATGTATAAACAGTACGGTTCGGTTATAACGACTTCTCTTTAGTGTTCATATGGTTATAGCGAAGAATATTTTGGCTCCCAAACCTATATGGTTATGGTGACTTCCGGTTTTAATTATATTATATTATATTATAGTATATTTATAGTCCACGCCTGTTCATAGCTCAGGCAGAACTCAGGAATTTGACTGCTCTTTCCTTTACAGGGTATTTGCCAGCATTGAGCATTCTGTTTTGGTTTTTTTCTTTCTTTATTTGCTGCAGGTCAACAAACAAGTTGCAGGTTTTATTTCATAGCTGCACTCTGCTCCTGCTGCTGCTCTTCCAGGATCTTTTTTGGTCGATGGCATTGACAGTTTTGCGCGTTGAGCTTGTTTTTGCCTGGCTCAAGGCAGCACTCAAAGGCTCTAGAGCAATGTAATTCCTATGCCTAATACTTGCTCTTGAGCAACGTAATTCCTATGCCCTTAGCTAGCTATCAAAGAGAGAAATAGCTGAAGAGTGCGAGTAAGACGGGCAGAGGGGATAATAAAGCTGGTGTAAGTGCATCCAAAGCCGACAATGCGCTCGCAAGTAATGTGCGCCTTTTGCGGCTGCAGTGCGTGCGCCGGAAGCCATTGCGGGTTAAGCACGCACCAGCAGCAGGAAGCACCACTGACAGTCTTGGGAAGGAAGTCAGATGGGCGACGCTGGGCGTGACGTGGCAGGTAGCGGAAACGCGCGTCGCGACACTTTATGACAGGTTGGGAGTGGAGCTGGCAAACCCCAAAGCAAGCCAACAAAAATAAAAAACAAAAACCAAAAAAAAAGACCTTAGCTACTTGCATGAGCTGCGCGCAGTGGGGCAACAAAGGGTTAAAGGGCTGCTTCAGCCTGTCAGGCATTAGGAATGCATTGTCTGCGTGTGCAGTTCATTTCGCCGCGCGCTCACTGTTCCACAGTATCTAAATCAAGTCTTTTGTAGTGGGCGTGCCAGGGGCGGAGTGAAGAAGGTAGAACATTTGAAGGGCTTCCAAGTGGAGGACTGTCTATGTGTGTGTGTGTGTGTATCTTCTTACAGGCCTGATAGCTAAACTACCCCGTTTGGCCCTCAACGTCTTGGCCGACAAATTAGCGCGTGTATTCGTTATTTACTTTTTTGTATTTTTTGTTGTCTGTCTGCCTGTGCATTTCAGTTTGGTTTGCAGCGCACAGCCGGCAACAGTGACGGGTTTTTCCACGCGCTGCCACAAAAACGTTCTTGCCACTTGCTACTTGCCGCAGTTGCAATATCTACAACAATACGAAAATACAATTTATGTATTGCCAAGTGCAAATTTTGCTGCCAAAACTTGCACGCAAATTGAGTTTGTTTCACAACTAAGTTTGTGGCTCTACACGTGTGTGTGTGTGTGTGTGTGTGTGTGGGAGTGTCTGTGTGAGTGCCAGTGTTGTGAGTGTTAACTTGACTTGTCCTGATAACAGCAAACTGTTGACAAAACATGAACTACTTAGAATCCATGCTATGGTAAGCAAAATTGCATCTTCCTTAACCTTAAAAGAAGGAAACTTAATTAATTATTCACAAGTGAAGATTCTATAGAGTTATTGTAATAATGCTTATTCAATTCTCAGAGCTAGTGTATTTCGCTGTTATTTATTGAATTCTAGAAATGGATTTAGTTTCCTCAATGACGCAAGTCGTGGAAGAAGGTTTTCAGAAATGTTTTAGACTGTAATCAATTTTTGAGATTAGAGATTAGAAAGCATAGGTGAAAAATAATACAACATATATATTATAATATATTATTAATACCAAATACATACATGCAAATTTTTTTTTCTCTTAATTTTAGTATAAGTTTAACCTAAAAGCATAATTGAGCTATACTGAAATTTGCTAAGTTTTAAATTAATTGAAAATATTTAAATATTAATTACAAGTTTTATGTTGTATGTTGTTGTATGTAATCTGTTTAGTAGTTATATGTTTAATATCTGCGCACATTTAAAGTAAGTTCGTAAATGACGAAACTGTAGAAAATTCTATTAAAGCACTTAATGCAGCCATAAAAGTTTGCACATAAACAGAAGCCATGGACCAGTGGCTCGTGTTGCTGCCCTGCCCTTCCCTCTGGCTTAGGGCAACTGTCCAACTTCAGAGCTTAAAGCAACTCCATTATGACAGTTTCCGAGTGCCTAACTCGGCTTTGCGGGCTGTAGGCGCCTCGAGCACCTACGCAACATATAAAAATAATTTCAAAACTTTGCGCAACTTGAAAATAATGTACATATATGCAATTTGTTGCACGTTTGCCCCCATTGCCGCTGACCTCAAAATCTGTACAAAATTCAAATCTAAATGCAGATGACAATATATATACATGTAGATAAAAATATTTTCAACAAGTATTTAACTATGCTCCAAGGAGAAATTATGCGATAGCAGAAATATGTTGCCTACATCTCTGGGCTGTTAAAAAAAAAAAAAAAAAACACTGCACAAGGAAAATGGACTTTTTTGGTTGGTATTTTTTTGTTTCTGCAGTTTGTTTGCTTTGGCAAATATTTGCGCTCGTCATTTAGCATTGGCCACGTCCCGAATGGGATTGGGCCTTGGCTCTCTTAAATGATGTGGAAAGAAATCACATTAATGGCAGCCGTGCGACCCAAAAAGTATTTACGGTAAATTTGGCCGCAGAGATCTACACACACACACACACACACACACTCACAGTGGGCCAATTAAAGCTTAGTGCGTTACAGTGCCAAGTCGTTAATGTGCCACGTGCAACGTGCAACGCGCAACACGCCGCCATTTTTAATTTATGCGCCTTGCGCCTACAAGTATGTAGCATGCAATATGCATGCAACAAAGTGTCGACAAAACAGACGGAGTGACTGGAGTGTCTGCCGGGAGGAGAAGCAAAGCGCGCCTCTGCTGGTGGGCGATAGCTTCGCTATACCCTGTGCATAAGAGAAGTGAACAAAACATAGGGTATATGCCAGAGGTTCATTCTATATGTTCTTTGTAGTTTGACAAGTGATACTCTCTCCCTCTTTCTCTCTCTCTCTCTTTCACTCTCGATTTGAAGCCATGCTTACATACTTAACTGAAATAATTTACAGGGCATTTGCTAGTTGTATACACTCATTAAGAGGCATCCCAGCTTCAGGCCTTGCACGGTCTTTTGTCTACTGCTGTATTTCTTGTGCTCCTCCTGGGCGAGAGTGTGTCTGTGTTTGTGTCGATGTATGTATATGTGTGTAATTTATGTAGGTCTCGCGCCGAAAAAGCTGCCTACAAATTAGTCAGAATTTTATAATTTGCGGCTGGCTGACTGAGGAAAATGTATACGTGCGTTGGTATGTCTGTGTGTGTGTTTGTTCCTGTCTCAGTGACAGCACCTATCAACCAAAATGGAAGTTAAGGTACAACTCAGATGCCAAAGCAGTTGCAAATAGTTTAATATTTAACATGCAGCTGTGCTGCCTTTTATTCAAAATATTGTCGCCATTTAGTCAAAAATTTCTCATGAAAATACTTTTTTTTTTTTTAATTTGTATAATTGGAGTTTATTGCGCCCTTCCTATACTCTATCAATTTCTATGGTCATAAATTCCGTGCTTAACCAAGATATATAAATGTTATTTATTTTTTCTTAACCGTTATAAATATTTAATTATTTATTTTAATACTTAACATTAAACAGTTTATCTGTTATTATAAGTAACTATTATATTAAATCGATGCGCTTCCATTTAATGTTAAACACTTAAAGCTAAATAATCTTCATATTAACAGCAGGGAAGGGGAAATAAATATGATTTTGAGTAAATCAAGCTGGATTAATAAATTAAAATCTACTTAATACATATATGTAAGAGTATGAATGTAAAGATAGAAGACAACAACAGCCTTTTAAATTATATTTGTATAAATTAAATTGCTTTAACTATAGGCTGGAAATTTAATTCTTGTGAAACACATTAACAGAAATGTGTGGATTTGATTTCATATTATTAATTTACTATCATATTGAAAACTTGAAAATCTATGCACATTTACATCAGCATTAGCATTGCTTAATTAAGTGAAGCATATTTTTTGAGATTTTTCCAAGAGGTTTGCTAATATTTTTGTATATACACAAAATGCGAGGCAAAAACTAGTTTTGCAAGGGCTTTTGGTTTTTATTTTGTTCACAAGCCCGTTGCAAGTTGTTTTTGTTGTTTTTGTTGTTTGCTATTTTGCCATGCCTGTAACTGGCATGAAAAGCATTTTACACATGGTAGCATTTTTTAATTTTGCAGCGCAGCTTTTAGAAATACACACAGACACACACACACCCATACACACACATACATACATACATACACAAATACACGTACACACACACAAATGGACTTACTAATTAGAAATAAAAATGCGCGCTGCACTTTTGCTCATTACGCAGTTGTAGTTGTTGCTTTTTTTCTTACCATGCCACATGCCGCATGCCACATGGCACATTGAATACTCAGCTGGCTCTATGTCGCTGGCCCCATATCATAGGGCGGTCTCGCCTGGGTCTCGAAATAATAAACTCCCTCGCGCTGCGCCAGCTGCTCCATGGATAGTGTGCCCAAATCTCCGCCCATGTGGAGCCGGCTGCCCGTTGGCTGCGGGCAGCGTTTGTGGCGCGTCAACTGCTGCCATTCGCTTGGCTGACAGCCCCTGGCCTCGAAGACCGTCCCCTCCAGGCTCTCCTTGAATAGGGCAAAGGCACGCCAGTGGCTGCATTCGTGCCAGAAGCAGCCCGGCTGCTGGCTACCCCAGTTGGCGTAGAAGTCTACGTGGCCCAGCGGACGATCGAATCCGTAGCTGCCCACGCTCGTGTGCAGCACCTCAACGTAGCTGGCATCGTTGCGGCTGAGGCGCTCCTTCTCTTGGGCGTAGCGAAAGAAGGGCAGGGCCGGATCCAAGGCGCGTATCACACGCACATGACCGGTCTGCACGTGCTTGGCGGCCAGCCCGGCAATATGGGCGCCCATGCTGAAGCCAATCAGCTGCAGATCCTCAAACTGCATGCCCGCCTCCACGTGCAGAAAGTCCAGAAACTTGGCCAGCACCTGACCCACTGGCTTCACTCTATAGCTGGCCGTTATATAATCGGCGATGGCACCACGTCCCCAGTCGACAGTGAAAATATTGTAGCTGCCATCGCTGAGCTTCAGGTACGCGGGCACCAAGTAATTGTAGACATTGGCATGTGCATTGCCCAGCCAGCCATGGATTATGATTCTGCGAAAGTGAGAGAAAGAACAGTTAGTTAATATTTAAATAAAAAAGAAAACTCAAAATCTATTAAGAAAGAAACGAAGAACTTTGTAAACTTTCAATCATAAATAAATGCATTATATAGTGAGTGAAAATGGACTGAAAATGTCATGTAAATGCAGCAACAATTACACGCACACACACACACACACACACACACACACACACACACACACTATCAGTCAGATACATTGTGGCATCAGTTATGTGCATCAGTCATAGCTTACCGCGTGGGCTGGAAGGGATTGAAGTGTGATTGGCGCAGCGAAGCGGCATCGTAGAGCCGCACCGTCTGCGTGGTCAGCTGCATGATTGACTCCTTGCCGTCGTTGACATTCAGGCCGAAGGCAGCGCTCAGCTTGTTGCCAACGTACTGCTGCAGCAGGCGATTACCATACGATAGTCCGCTCGGGCCACGCCTACTGCTCGAATGCAGCTGAAAGTAGGTCTGTCGCTCGGCATTGTATAGTAAATTGTAGTCCTGCAATCGTAATAGTTGCTCATCACCGACCATTGGGCCAGTCGAGTTTTTGTCAGTGTTGCTGTTGTTGTTGTTGTTGTTGTTTTCGAAATTATGTCTTTCCGATATTGGCAACACAGCGGGTGTCATTAAGTTCATGCTGCTGATGTCCTGGTTAGATGTCCTTACGATTTGCATGCCTGCATGACTGGCCTTGCTCTTTTCATTTGCATTTAGCTGCAGTCTTTCGGCTGCTGCTTTCGCCCTCATCACGGCACTTTCCACTTCATTTGTCACTTTTCCTTGCACTGCGGGTCCTTGGGTGGCCATCAGCTCCGGCACCACCCGCAATTGATTGTTGTCTGCATCGAGCTGCTCGGCTGCTCTGTAATCAGCATACGAGTAGTTGGATTCCTCAATCCGCCTCTTGTATTCAATTCGAAATCTGCCCGGAGATTTGGCCTCCTGCTGCCATGCAGCTGCACTGTGCCACAAACAAGCTGGCAACAAAATGAAAGTGCATTAGACGAAACTGGAGCAATGTCTATGTTTTCTATACATGTTGGACTAAGTATTCCCGAGTTGATCAATGATAATCACCTGACTGACAAATGCACAGCAGCCCAAGCAGAAGCATTTTCTCTGTGTGTGTGTGTGTGTGTGTGTGGTCTTTTCTTGCTTTTTTTTGCCCACTTCTTAAGATACTTTTTGTGTAGCTCACGAACTCATTATTTTTGATACTTTTGAGACGCGTTTTCAAGAACTAGCGAACTACACGGACGAACTCGCATTAACAACTGACTGGAAACTTTTTCTCCATCTCTGCGACGCTCACTCATAATTTGCTTAAAGTTTTTTTTTTGGCTCTGTTTGTCTAAAGAAACAAAAAAGAGGAAGCTACGAATGTGCAAGAGCGTACTTATTATACTTGAGTTGTTAGCCGAATTTTGATACCCTGACAACAATTAGTTGACCATCAAATATGTTATACATTTTGAATGATATTGTTAACAGTAAAAAGAAAAGCAAAGAAATTACGCAATTATCTGTACGTATTCATCATGATGCTATTCAAGTGTATGCAAACTTCGGTTTGTCACAGGTATTAACATAGTTGTTATGCTTAACAAGCGGATATTATTGAAGACTTCGACCGAAAGAAAAGAGATAAATAAATAATACGAAATACCGTTCGCTCTCACCTCTGCCCACTTCATTAACTGTTAATCTGTTGAGTCAATAAAAGTTCAGCCCCAACGTGCGGTGTGCCACTGACCAAGTTTTGCTTCTTTTGGCCTTAGTACTTAACACATACTTTTTTGGCCACATTTTGGGATAGGTCAATGCACCAAAGCGTCTGTGCTTGCACTGTCGACGTCTACGTCGAACGAGCTGTCGCAGCTTTCTAGACTAGTCGCGGCAGTTTTTTTGATTGGCATTGAAAACACCATAAATAAATTGAAATTGGGGAAAACTGAAAATATTTAGGTAAAACTCTTAAACTTTAAAAGTCAACTAAATTTTGTTGTATAAAAGTCAAGAAAAAACTATGATTAAATACATATTTTGAATTTATTTTAATTAATAATATTAATGTCTGTCCACCTTATCAGTATTCAAATGTGTTCTTTCATTTTTGTAATATATTTATACAAATTCTCTAAAATACTAATTTATCATTAAAAAATACCAAAATTTCATTCCAACACATATATGTTTGTATGTATATGTGTGTACGCCTTCCTTCAGTCACCCATAATATTTTATATATACGTTTAATAAACCATTTCGAATTTTATGGCGTACCGTTTACGAGAAACGTATTCTAATCAATCTTAATATATTCTCTCTTATTATGTTGCAGGTAAGTTCACACATGCCACAAGCAAACATGACGACATGCGACGTGGAGGAATGGGAAAAACAATATTAAAAGCTGACAGCTGAAAGCTGAACCGGTCGCCATTTTAAGGACGTGCATTTCCTGCGGCTGAATCATATTGTGTTTAGGGTGGCAAAGGAGCTAAACGACGGAACCCCACGCGTTGGAGAACATGAAAACAATGTGCATTTTTTATTATCGCTGATCGTATAACAGACAAAAAACGTGACGAAAACAAAAAAAAATATGTATGCGGAAAAAAAAACAGAAAACAGATATGAGTGCGTGTCGTCCAAAGCCCCAACTCAGGTAACGAAGCATAAAAAGTAACCGAATATCGCTCGAAAAGAAAAAACAGATTCTCTACGCGCTCCGATTTTTTTTTTTTTTTTTTTTACTCTGCCCTATCTCTCTGTGTAAAGGAGCAAGCGCAATCCTTGAAACGAGTTGGCCAAGTGCACACTTGACAATTTTGTTGCATAGATAGCAACATTTATTGAATACGTTGCAGGGGTAACATTATTATTTTACATTAAAAAGAGATAGGGGAGAAGAAGAGGAGCCCTCTCCATATGAACTGGCTGCAGATGATGGCTCAGCAGAATGCGATAGGCTGCAAGTTCAATGTACAATGTTTGTGAAGCATTCCAGATAGAGATGTGCGAAACAAAATTTAACTCCTGGTTTAACTGCATTAATGAATGTAGTCAGGACGTGTTTCAAGATTTTTAGAAACCTCGAACGTTTTTTTATATAAAAAAAGTTTTTTATGAATGTGTAATATATGACAAATATTCTAAATTATTGGAGTGGTTTAATATTTTTTATTTATCAAGATGATGCTCGATTTGCTTGAATGCTATTGTGATATATGTTATTTGAATTTGAAGATTTCATACGATAAATGTATAATATATTTATCAATATCAATAACATACCCCAGTCACATATTTTCAGAGATCATACTTTATATCATTTATATTATGATACATACTACAACACATATAGTAGAGCAATATTTCATTGCATTCCAATAATCTGTCTTTATTTGTAGTATATTCCCTAGAAAATGACATTGTAAACCTAAAAGTTACAGAAGTTATTTAAACGTAAATCGAAAAGAAATCATACATTCAATCAAATTGAGTCGTGACACGAATGAAAGCACGATGTGAAACCAAACTCGATTTGAGCTGTTGCTATTGCAGCTTGCCAGCAGCAATTGTTATTGCAGTTGTTGTAAGGCAACACTCAGACAGGATTTGCGACAAACAATGCGCGTTTGCCATAATCGATTAAAAAGCGGCTGTAAAGGAACAACAGGCAACAGAAGCAGCGGCAGCAGCAGCAGCAGGAGACACGCGACCGTAGCAGGAGTCTGGGCTCGAGGGCTTTATGCTGAAACTGAGAGCTGGGGGTCAGCGTTCTCTTTGTTTGCTCTCTGCTTATGCTTCTCGTATAGCTGCAAGCTCAAAAATGTCACTCGACTGACTTTTATTACATTGTACCACGCCTCCTTTCCGTTCGCACACATACAGAGAAAGCGGGAGAGAGAGACAGACCCATTTCCATGTCTATGACGATGCCACGGCCTACTCACATAAGGCTGGACTATTTGCCCGCAAAATACTTGAGTCGAGGCTTGGTGTCAGCATTTAGCAGGCAAGAGCCTTAACGGATTATGAGACGGAGGTCGGGTGGGGTTGGGTTTGGTGCCGGGTTTTGGGTCTTCCACTATGCGACTGAAGCATTTCTTGAGCACCTCTTCACTTTTGCATCCTGCGACTTTGAACAGGATGCGTTTAAGCTCGCACTGCGACTACTTATCTTAGCGCTTAGAGCTGACTCAGCCATTGCCTACACTTTGTGGTTCTTAGTGGAAGATATGTAAACAATAAACCCCATAGATGATTGGGGCCAAAATCTGTGACAAAATTTGCTTACACATGTTATCAAGCTTCGAGTCATTAATTTTGTTTGCGAATGAGTTGAATTTCGGTTTTAGCAAATGAACTATGTTGTGAGGAAATATTATCATCATACAAATTAATAGGTAAATAACGCATTGAAATTAACTAAGTTTGAAATTGGTGGAAACAATTTATATTAAAATAACTTAATATAATATATAATATAATAATATATAATATCTTAAGCTCAACAGCTTTATATTATTTATTTTTATTTTTATTTATTCATTTATTAATTTAAATTACATTTGCCATTACATTTAAATATAAATGTTATTTAACATATAAAATTAACTGTGCGAGATCTTCCTGCTGAACTGCTTTGTGGTAACCGAACTGCTTGACGCTTGTGCATTTTCATAGCAGTGCACATGTGTAAAGCAGTTGAAAGCTTTCGGCTCGCAAAAAAGCGCAGGACCACTTTCATTTAACATTTCCTTAAAGCTCTCTAGCCTGTCATCCAGAGAGCTTTTTGTGCTGTTACGTCTCCAGCAATTTTACAGCGTTGAAAGCTTTTGCATTTGTTTCGCTCGACTGACCCACTTCAGCATGAGCAAAGTAGCCAAATTATGTTTTTGGGCAGCTTTTGTGCAGGCGTGAAACTTTTGCGTTTGCACGGGCACAGCCCTTTCAAATGCCTGTGACTCGCTAGGGACTGGCATGTGTTTGGGCATGTATCCTTGGGCCATATTAAATTCAATTAGGCGACGTCAGATGTTGAGTTGAGGCGACAAATTCCACCCGAAGGCCGAAGACGAAACGAGTTATTCCACATATCGTTCGTTTTTGACTATTGCTAGTCGACTTATAAATAAGTAATAGTTGACAAGTACTTTCCTTAGTCAATTGCCAGGCACAATTCACATGTGTGCGTGTGTGTGTGTGTGTTTCTTCCTGTTTGCTGAGTCGTACGGCTGAGCGCTGTGCACGCATCCTGAGGCTGTTTTGCATGTAAATGAGCTGGTGCTTCAGTTGCTCCAAGCATATCCGTGCACACGGGCAGACGTGCATAGCTTATTTGCTTCTGCATTTTGAGGAGCATGGCTGCCACGCCCACGCAACTTTTGTCGCACCTCTTAATTAACGAAATTACTTACCTTACCTCTAGGAGATCCCGCCCGTCGCCTTCCAACCACATATGCAGCATGAGAGCCACGCTATTGTAGCAGCTCCCATTCTGCTCTTCTTTATAAATGCTGCCATTTGGGACTTTCTCTCTCTCTCTCCCACTCACTCTGTCTTTCTGGTTCGCTCTACCTCAGAGTGCTAAGTGGCTGTAAAGTCCTCATTCTCTCATTCCTACCGCTGTTGTCCTTTTTATGCACTTTCAAGCACTTAATAAGCTGGCAAAACCACCGACAATTTGCATGAGAAGGTGAGCTTAAGCTGGATGTAATGCGGACACACCTGCATTCACTTTAACCCTTGAGCTTTTCATCTGTTTACGCCCACACACACACACACTCACACATGCACACTCTGGCACACACCTTCACAAGGATTGACGTCATGCCTGCCATTTTGTCATTCATTCCATCATGTATTTCATATGTGCATTAGCATTCTGCCGATTGCGTGTGTGTGTGTGTGTGTGTGGGTGTCTGCCAACGCCGGCTACAACAGTTAGCATTTTCTTATCCGAGTAGAACATATTTATATAGATGTGTGTGTATATATATATTTTTAGGTCAACGTAATTTCCTCACGTTTTCCTCTCTTTCTCATTTTACAGTCTTAACAACGTCTGCTGGCGCCTTCGATCCTTCCACTTGAACAGTTGTCGTTGCCGTTAATCAGCAAATGCTTAGAGGAAGCCACACAAATAGGGTCGATTGGTTAAGCCATTCAATTCGAGAGTGATCGATAGAATATTTTATTTTGTATAGAGTGCAACTGTAGGATACGTGGGAAAACAGTAGAAAAACTTAAAATCAATGATATACATAAAGATAATGTTTTTATTTTCAAATATTGGTATATTCAAATATTAATTTTATCTTAAAATCTATTTGCTATAAGTCATGCTCTGGATAGGATTATTATATATAGCTATAAATACCTATTATAGTTGTATCAAGGGGCAAAGTTTATTGCTAATCAGCATTCAATGAAGGTCTACACATCTAAAAGGATAGCGGACTCTCCTCTACACATGTTGATTCGAGAGTTTCCCGGATTCGCCCTAAGTAGATAGATATTTGATCAAATAGTGGTTCGACATACTTTTGCTAAATTTTTTGAGTTAAATCTCATTCTAACTCAATTAGATAGAATTGTTCACTGTTAAATTTATTCGCAAAGAAATAAGATGGGAAAGAAAACCTTTAAGTTTTTTGTTTCAATAAATTTAGGAATAGATTGCTTAAAAAGTTGGGTACTAAATTACTTTCATAATTAATATTTTATATTTTTGTTAATCAATATTTAGGAATGATTTTTGAATATATTACAAATACACATTTAGCTGTCCGATACAGTGTGGCACGTTTTCAGCTTGTTTAGAAATATTTCTAATTTTAAATTGTATAGAAAGTGAAATATTACAGTCCATATATATATATTTTGTAAAAATAGGGTTTAAATATATATTTAAATTAAGTTCAAATTAATTGGTATTTAGGTATTTCAGACTCTTAAAAGTCGACTCTATTACAAACTATTACCATATACGTACGATCTCATTGATCTTTCATAAATACTTTACATTTTATATATAACCCTGATTTTCAT